TCGCAGCATGGTTTTCTACCTGGACGATCATATAAGACATGTCACTTAACTTTTCGGAACCACGTCACGGCAATCCGTGGTCGTTATCTAATTCGGCCTGAGCAAAGCCTTCGACAAGGTACCACACATACGGCTTATGGTAAAACTGGAAGCCATCTGCATCCGCCCCCATCTCCTCGACTTCATTGATTCCTACTTGTCTAAAAGTGGCCAAAAGGTCTCAGTAGGTAACAGCTATTCCACTGCTCAGCTGATTACCAGTGGCGTTTTTCACGGGACTGTCTTGCGTCCTTTACACTTCACCCTTTACGTAAATGAGCTTCCGACTATCGTGCAACATTCACACAATCTCATTTATGCAGAAGACCTCAAATGCATACCCTCATTTTCTTAGGACACGGCCAATACATGCGTTAATAAAATAAACGTGGACCTGCTTACACTCTTATGTTGCAGTGCTACCTGACAGATGGAATTATCTCAATTCAAGTTGACTTCTATGTGTTTCGGTCCCGCCAAGCTTCCTCGTCCCCTAATCTTTCAAAATACTCAATTTTGAGAACGATCTACCATGAAAGACTTAGGTCTAAGCTACACAAATAAACGTGCATTACCGCCTCATGTGGATCAAATATCTGCGAAGGTGCACATATATGTGGTTTTATATGATATAATTTCTGCCTGCTGGAAATAAAGTTAAAACCTCATGTATGTTCTACCCATCCTAGAATACTATTGTGCGCCTTTTGGTCTAGTGAATGCTCCTGACGTACAGAAAACGTACAGACGGTGTTTACTCGAATAATATTTGCTCTTCCTCGATCCACAATTTCTTAAACGGAAAAATGTCAGTTAGCGAACATGACATTTATTTGGGTAAGAAGACTCAAAGCGGGCCTCTGCTTCCTTTTTCGCGTTAACTCTAGCCCTAACCTCCCAGGGATCAACGCTCTTAATCCGGCAGATAGACCTTATGCCAGTCGTTATTCCTACAGGATAATTGCATCCCTCTTTAGCTCCACATCAAACCACTCTCGTTTTTTTGCCTTGAAATATGCCTTCCTCTGAAATAATATTTCCCTCAAAATTAGCCTGTAGTCTAACTTAGCCGTTTTTAAAGTCACTTAACTTCGGACGATATAAAGCTCTTGTTATCGGTCTTCTTTTCAAACACCCTACTTTTGGACTTTATAAATTGCCCCCTGGTATTTAAGGTGGCTCTATTTAAATTAAAATCTTTTCCATATATGTATATTTTTTCCTCTTTAGAGTGATATTTGGAACGGTTTTAAGCAGCGGCAGAATACCGGCGAAAAACGTGTCTGGGCATTTTAGCTAGCACCTAGGTTGTTAGTACGGTAAGCTACAACATCAGATTATACTACTTAAGTCTGCCTGTCGGCAGCAAGTGCATATTATGCAGCGGTTGACAGGTTTCAACCCAAATATACACTAACAATTTCAGTCTACGCCTGCAGATCTTAAATATACTGATACATACAGCGAACAGAAATTTAGTTCTTAGGAGATTAAAAAGTTGAACTGGCGTCTTTGTTCTGCTACCTATCACCAAAGCCCAGTGCATGAGTTAATGTGTCGCCGGTTTTGCACCTGTGGCTTAGTCGGTTTTGATGAATTAATCAAACGCACTACGGGACTCCCCGATTATCCTGCTTAACGGGACACGTGTTCACGGTCCTATCAAACAACATGTCAAGTATAACAAAGCGATCTCTTTAGATTTTTTCCCAGAACTCAGATTTGGGTGTCGATGCATGAAGTGGCACGACGCAGAACAAATTGACTTATGTGCTGGGTAATCTTTCAAAGTCCCTGTGAAAACCGCAACACAATATACTGTGTGGGAAACTGAAAATGATTTTTACAAGTATCGATTACCATTATTCAGGGGAAGCAAACAAATCTGCCTGTTTGTGATAGCCATACGTTCAGGTGATACCAGAAAGGACTTCAATGTGGGAAGTCAACTGATC